TCACCCCCCCCCCCCGCACTTACTGGCTTTGTGAGGGTCAAGGCTAAGGGCAACATTGCTTCTCTTTCACTAGACCTGGGCCCTCAGGGATCTTTCCGCTACCTAGATACAAGATCATCAAGAATCCAAGAAGGGAAAATGAGCCTTAGGTGCTTCAGCCCCCATGTCCACGTTCCAACGCTGTTCCCTATGAACTCAGAGGAAGATAAGCAGAAGTTGTGCTACACAGCAAATGGCCCAGGAGGAGCCCCCACCTACATCTACTAGGATCTCACCCTTCCCCAACTTCCTTCACAGTCCTGTTGTAGGCCCTCAAAAGCCCTCATTAGAATCTCACCTGGAGACTGGGAAGCAATGACCTAAAGCATACACTTGCTAAAACAAAATCATGCCAGTCAATTTTCTCTTCAAGGAGTGTAAGTTTGTTTACAAATATTTACTTGAAAGATTGAACCAACCTTTTAGCATATTTCTATGTATGGAACAAAGGGATGTTTTAGGAACAGATCAGGGAATCACATCAGGGGAGAGTAGAAGGACTGGAAGACCTTTACGGCCAGATCTCATCTAAAAATTCAGTGTGACTTTTAATTTTTTATTATGGTAGCAATGATCTAAATTTAAAGTTTCTCTCATATAGCTAAGTTTTTCTAGGTTATCCTTTCATCTGATGATTATATGGTTTGGCAAGAAACCTAACTACACATTTCTATATAACACTTAATTGATGCTAGAAAGAAAAAGCCAACTCTTTATGGGGAATTCTTCTGAAGTTGCAGGGTTCAACTATTTTAGTTTGTTGAAATGATTAATAAAAACAAGGGAAAAAAATAATGAATTTTTTGGTGACTTAATGGAAGATTTAATCTACCTTTATGCGTAGAGGGAAAGGACTTAAAATAATTACCCCCTGCCCTTCCTCTGAAAGCTTTCTAAATCAAATATAGCCAAGAAATTGCTTCCTCTTAATTAACAATACTCATCCAGTAGGACTGCCCTGGTAATACCAATATCCCCTTAATAAAGATAAAACTTTATATCTATCCACTGATACCTGATGGGTTTTAAGGAAAAAAAAAAAGCAGTTAAGCACTAACTACATGCCCGGCCCTGTGCTAAGATCTGTCTGCTTTTTCAGTTTTTAACTCACTTGGAATGCTCTAGAAATACATGGGCATGGCAAATATTTGAATCAATAATTTATTAATTTATTTAATAACATTATTTAACATATTTAACATTATTGATTTATTAATTTTTCAAGTAAATAACTGCCTAAGATAGAGGAAATAATGTGGTCATCTTTTAGTTTAGAATTTCTGAATGGTATTATTTCCTGACATGATGGTATTTTCCCTTTCTTTGCCTACTGATGTTGATTAAATTCTTAGACTAAGGGATACTTTGCCACAAAACTAGGGAGTCACTATTTTTGAAGGTTAAAATCTACAAAAAAATTAAAGCTTCCAGAGTTAAATTTTACTATTTTATTTGTGAAAAAACTACAAGCAGAATTCATAAATAGACATTTCTATTTAAAGCAGGAAAATGATAAAGTGGCTTCTAATAACATAGTCGTGCACATGCCAGTAACAGGAATATATTAACATCTTTTATTTGCTAGACAAAGAGCAGTGTCCGATATAAATTTTCCCAAAACATTTAAGACCTGTGAATCTCTGACCAGTTCACAAAACCACCAATTGACACTTTAGCATGAAGATAAAAACAAACCTAACAGACTGTCAGCTCTAAAGACTTTACAGAGCAGAAACTTTCAAAAGCGTTATACAAGCTGTCTTTCTGGGCAAATGAAAAATATAGCTCGTATAATACATTAACAAAAATTCACAAGATAAGATTATGTTTTGACATACTTAACAAGCATTCTCTATTTGTCTCCAACAAACAAAGCTAAGGAAATAATGTAACCATCTTTACACAGTAAATTAAGGTTACAAGTCATACACAAGAACAGAACTGCTTGCGCATTAAAAACTGTTCAGCTCCATTGTCATACATTTCTAAATGTTGGCTCTTAAACCATTTTCGGTTACATACAAGCAAAGGTTATTATATATTCAGCAATTAATAAATTTTCAATAATTTAAGATATGGTAGCTTAAAAAAGTAGACTGAGAATGGTCTTGATAAGGCAGGTGAAACATCTTAGTGGAACTAAACTCACAGAAGCGTCTGCCAATCTTTTTTTTATGGTTAGCCAAATTTAAACTGAAAGTTATTTATTGATTAAAATAAATATTTTTTTTCTGCGTTCAATTTTTTTTCATTGCATGACTCAGGTAGAGCAAGTCAGGCAAGCTCTGTGTGTCTATGTGTGTGCATACACACACACATGAATGAGAGACTGTGTGGCATTAAAAAAAAATCGAAACTTGCAAGCGTAACACTGTGCTTTTTTTTTTTAACCTGCGTTCTGTGCCACCGAATACCAAGTATTTCTGGTCCTTAACATATATACATATGTGTGTGTGTATGTATGTATGTATACACACATATACACACACATATGTATATATCTGTATATATGTATAATACACACACACATACACACACATATATATATAATCTACACTAGTGTTTTTACGTGCTGCAAAAGCAGGAAATCACGGGAATTCCATTTCCAGAATACATGCCTGAGGGATGTAATCAATTTCAGAAACTAAAAGTCTAAAAGTACCTACACTACCTTAACAGAATACACAACAGCAGCTAAAGGACTGGCCCAACAATGAAATTTGACTGCTTAGCTAGCAACTTCCACTTTTAGCTGCAATTTCTAGTCAATGCAGAGTTTTATTCCATTTGTTCCAAAGCAATCCTCCTCCCTTTCTTTTCCCCTCCCTAAAATAAGTTAATTTACCAAGGAGGCAAAACTGAAAAACCAAGACATTAGCAATGAATGAATTAGCAGCCTATGAGTAGCTGGTTAATCAGCTTTTCCACTAAACTAGGGGTCCATTCACTTTACATGAAACTAATTTTGAAAAAATACACACAGTGTTTCTGAACAAAGTGCAAACTAACACTTACTGATTCATAAAAGCAGTGCAACATACACATTAGTTTGGTGGTATTTTAAGATTTATTTTTTGTAAAATAAAAAACTTAGCATTTCCATACACCTCTGGAAAATAAATATGGCTGACCAGTTTACCCTCCCTGAGACCCTTAATAAAAGGAATATTAAAACTTTAGAAGGAATGTCTTTGCAATATCCCACTAACATTAAAACGTGGATTTAAAATTCATAGTCAAACCACTATGTATTATATATTCTGATGCTATTGAAAGCATCTGATTTCCTTTGGTTCATTAATAAATACTTTAAAAACGTATTTAAAAAAGGTAATTATAACTTGCATCTTTGATACAAGCATAATTTAAAAAGAGGGGAACATTGTCCATGCATTTTAGACTAGGACCATAGCAACAAATGGCACTGCTTTGTAATCTATACTTTTTGAGAATATAATTTAAATTATGATGCATTAGTGACTACAGAATAGTTTTAATGTAAATGTGAAAGGAACCTTGCCTGTTGGCTACTCAAAAATCAAGCTGATAATTTTACTTTTTACTCAGTTGCCTCCATATACATAAGTTATTTTTTTCCCCAAACCAAGTTACCATAACAAAATCTGGTGCGTCATTACAAATCGGCTGCTCTCACTTGTGAGTACCTAAAGCATGACCATATATTTTGAACTGGCTCTGTGCTTGAAATGATTCAGAAGCACTATGGGCCACATGAGTAAATGTATAAAAAGCGATACAGATAAAAAGGCTAAAAGAAAAAAAAATAGGAAAAAAAGTCACACTAGTGTTTTCAAGGGATGATAACCAGGAACCAAATTGCAAAGTAACTCTTAAGAGACTTGGAAGAATTTCCTTAAGTCAGATTATCTTTATATCTAGAGGGAAAAACTAGCCCCATCAGTATGAGCTGCGCTTGCGTCTCAGATGCTAGCATGAACATCGTTCACAACTGAAGCTTCCCACGATAGAACGAATACCAATGAATTTCTACAAAACCTTGAAAATCACCATGTTGGTAATTAAACATATATAGTTCATAATCCCCTTTCAGAAAACAAGCAGATCCAGAGGTTGGGGGGGCGGGGAGCAGAAGAGGGTGGTAGAAAGAGAAGAGAAGCTTATGGGGGGGGGGGAAGAAGAGGGAAAAGAAAGACAAAATTTAATTACACAAATCACTATGCAATGTTACATGAAAACAAGTAACTGCTTACTGTATTGACTGAAAAACATTCCAGCCCTACAATTACAGTGATGATTTTAATGTCTTAAATCCTAAAACTAACAGACACTTTATAGATTTTTTAATAATTACCTCAGTCATGAACACAGGTCTGGAAAATGGATGGAATTCAAGTTACAGAATACCATATTTTTGTGAATGGCTATGCAAGAATTAGCAATGTTAACATGTGACCATAATTTCCTTGGCATTCTGAAGCCAGTTTAAGTTACTTTTGAATGATCAAGCACTTCCAACTGGACAAGAGAACTTGTGACTTGTTATTCTATTGCAAATGCAGGATGGGTATCTGGAGCAGTCTTGTAATTTGAGATCACATCGCTTAAAAATATAAATTCATAGCATCCAGTACTCTTTAGACAGACGAGACTTAAGTTCCCACGTGGGTTGGAACACACTTCATGTAAGACTGGTTTCAATTTAGTTTCAGCACTTTTATAGAAAGGACTGTCCCAGATCTGTAACTGTTCAATGTTGTTTTCACTTCACAGTGTATCAAAGCACCAGCGTTGCCATGTATTGGTTTCAAATAACCCTTTATATATATATATTTTTTATATTTATATATATAGTTATATCAAAACTGATAGTACAGAGTATAACTGGAAGAAAGAACTAAACTTAAAGGATATGCTGAAAAGGATGGAGTCTGTGAATGCAATAAATAAAGCCCCCCCCTGCTCTGCCCCCCCCTGCCCCCCCAAAAAAAACGCCCAACAGTTGTAATGTACATGGAAAATTGTGCACAGCAGATTTTTATAAAAAGTAGATTCAGGAGCACATCCAATTATAAATGATTGTTAGGAAAATCATATAAAACAATGGAATACATAAAAGTGTCAAGAGTAATCGTCAGGGTGCGAAATTCCTTGCTGGCCAGATGCCCATGGCAAGCAGAAATGATCCTGGTAGCATCACTAGGTCGATGTCCACAGAAGAATCTCCAGGGGATGCAAGCAGCATGGGCAGGTGGAAGATTTGAATTTCATACCCTGATTCATAGTTTTCACAATTCCATGTGCAATTTCAGAAAGATTCATCATTTACTGCTGACATGTCGCCCTTGGGCGTTGAGGAACGGGATGAGCCCTTGTCTGTGCTCTCCGATCCAGAGCTGCTCTGGTTCTGCTGTTCTGATCCTGCACTGGAGGTCACTGTCGATGAGGACGTCGAAGAAGAACGAGTCTTTTCTTTAAAGTCTGTGATAATGACTGTGACATTCCCCACTGTTACTGCCAATTGCTGTGCAGTGCTTCTGTCCACATTTTTCAGCCTGGGCCTAAAACAACCATCATAAGAAATAGATAATATTCAATGTCCTTCATACAAGTTCCTGATTCAGTTGAGAATTTACCTAAGAAAGATATTCAGACCATTTCCCCAAATTTCCAATAAACTCAGGGGCGCTCTGGAGGAACTGAAATTCTTCATTATTAAGCAGGATACCAAGAAGTGTCACATTTTGACTTCTGGTTTTTCTATCAAAATACCATCTTAGTTCAAGAAAGAGTTAGTAGTTACAAAGTATAGTTGGTAGGAGAAAAGATACTTACTCCACTCTAGTCACAAGATTATTTCAGTTGAAGAAATGAAGGGACCTCAATGCTAAGTGCTTTACAAGTATTCTCATTTGATCCTCACAACCACCTTGGAAGGCAGGTGTTGTTGGTGATCCCCATTTTACAGATAAGGAAACTGAGGCAAACAAGGATTAAATGACTTCCCCAGGGTCACACAGCTACTAAGCGCCTGAGGCCAAATTTGAATCCAGGACTTTACCAAAGGAGATCATAACAGAGAGTTTATACAAATTGTTGAACCAATTAACACTTAGTGTAAAATATTCCTCTTTTGCAAATCTTTTACAAGTTCAGAACGGGCACAGATTTTCTACTGTTTTTCTTTTGTTTTGTTTTATTTTTTAGGCCAAACAGTAAATCACAGCTATATATCCTGGATATTTCAAGTGGAATGCCCCCTCCACTTGAAGCTCAATACAGCTCAAAGAGAACTTAATTTGCTTCTATACCCTTTATTTCTTTCCAGGCTGCACTTCTGACTTTCTTCCCTAAAGTGTTACAATGACCCAATTCTGGGTACTGTTCTCCTCCCCTTTCTGCTTATATCTTTAGTGAACACTTAATAAATGCTTATTGACATGACCCCTCCCCCAAATTAGCTCCCTTTTCTGGTTTCAAGAAAAGCAGTGTGACAGAAGGCAGAGTATACAGAGCCATGGATATGGAGTCACAAGACCTGGGTCAACACTTAGAATTTTTATAGCCTCATCTGAGGCAAATAGGTGGTACTGGGGAAGAGAGTATAGGACTTAAGAATCTGGAAGAACAGGTCACTTAACGTTTTAGCCTCAGTTTCTTGATTTGTAAAACAATCAAGACAATAATAAAAGTACCTACTGACAGACTAGCTGGTAAGGACAAAATGAGATAACATTTAAAATACTGTGCAAAACTTTAAAAAACTCTATATTTTCTATTACATAACTATATACACAAGTATTTTAAAATAATTCCAGCTATTATTATTATTATTAAATAAATTGCTATCATTATTAATGCTTACAGAGAAAGGACTCGAAGTCAGGATGATCTGGGTTCAAACCCTATCTATACCTCTGACCTAGCCTGGCTATGTGAGTTTGGGCAAGTAACTGAAATTCTCAATGCCAAGGCAACTCTCTGCAACTTACAGAGAAGGTACTGGCCTGCATAGGAAGAGGTTGTTTTCTCATTAAGAGCTTCCTATCCCACTAAAATCACAGAGCCTGTCCCTTTTTTTTAAAAAATCAGAGTCAGAATGAATTCTTTCCCCTTTTCTTCCACTGTTAAGCATACTTTTTCCCCATTCCTACTGATATTACTATTCACAGAAACCTAGATCTCTGCCAATTCATTTTCCTGCTTACAGTCTGTAGTGCTCCAAAATCCATCCTATGAACATAGAGCTAGCATAACATTCTTGCTTCCTTCTTCTCTAAGATGGCTTTACTGAAGTCCCAAGTCCTATATTCTCTCCACTAACGTACCCAGCCGACCCACCCAACTGCAACCTCTCCTTTTAAACTTTTCAAGCAATTGTTTGTTTTCATTTGGCACCTAAGTATATACTTATTGCTTTCATCATACATATCTTCTTGTCACTTCACTATGATCTAGTAATAATATTTTAGGAATCTTTTAATCAATGATAACTGGATGAAACCAGCAGAAAGAGACTTCCAAATTCAAAATACAAATAACATAACCGATAAAACATTGTAAATTTTTTCTAAATTTCCCTACTATGATTATAGAAGGAACTAACAGAAATTATATCAATGCAAATGAGCCTAAAGAGGCCTGAAAACAAAAATACTTTATAAAGGAATGCAAAAGCCTCAATTCAAACATAGAGTGCAATCTTGACCAGATACTAGGCAAAAATGTTCTATATTTGCAGAAAACACTTAAATTCTCTGATAATTTTAGATGTGAAATCAACTACAGCTTATAAACTTTAAGGACCACTAAAAATTCTATTGATGACATTTTCCTGGCTCTTCTATTTTTCTACTTTGGCCAGTGATGCAAATGTTATTTTTAGACAGTAAATTTTAAGATCCTTATCTGTGCCTCTGCAGCCTAACAGGTATACAATTTTTATCGGCTAAATCATAGAATCAATCTGTCAATTTGGTGTCAATGTCTTACCTTGAAGTGTGATTTGAGTCACTGGTCTTTGTTGTAGCATTCCCAGACTGTATACTGTTTGCTTCACTAGGAGGATCTTTCAGAATATCAGACTTTGGTCTAAAAGAAAGGAGCAAAAATATGCTTTAATAAAATTTATGGATTCATTTACAATTTAATCAGCTCAATTATGAATGACAAACTTCTGGCTCGCTTTGGGACTTACTTAGTCTTCTTGTTGGTGTTCTTCTTTGTAACACTAGGGCTAATTTCTTTTTCTTTATCTGGTTTCTCTTTTTCCTGCTTTTCCACTTTTTCCTTCTTTTCCTTTTTGGGTGGTGGAGGAGTGGCGTACTGCTGGGCCACTTGTTGTGCCACCAGCTGAGAGTTTATTCTAGGTTTTCTATAAAAGGAGGAAAAAAGCAACTGTCACTTACTTTGCAAACTAAGTTAATTTGCATAAATGGAAATATTTTAAAATTCATATCTGCCAAACCACAACCCATTAAATATAAACTAGAAAACTTTTTTTCATTTCATTTTTAATAGTAGTAATATATGCTCTCTTGCAAATTTCCCAATATTTTAAAAGAAAAGTTTCCTCTCATACAGGAGCACTAAAAACTCTTTTTTTTAGAAGTGTCACGATTGTATTGATTGCAGATTTAAAATAAGCTTTTCTTAAATCTCCTTTTATCAGACATTGGTAATCTCTTAAAAAGACAACGAAATTAGAAGTGAGTCAGCCATTAATCTCCCCAACTAGTTTACTGAGCCCAAGTTTTGTGCATGACTAATACATCTGATCAAGAGAAGGTAACTGAGATTTATAGTCATTCCCAGAAAGGGATGAATATTAAAAATCACTCTAACAAATGTAAGACAAATGGTATATTCACAGGGCCATCAACAGCCATGTGTGTGCCAATCTCCAACTGACACTGTCTCTTAGAACCATTGTCTACATGTTCTAAATAGTGCCAATCAAGTTTCTCAATGCATGTTCCTTCAAACCAAAAGGGAAAGGACTGCATATCCACACTATATTCTTTGTAAAATGAGTATCCAGATGTTCTTATATAAAACAACACATTAAAATTAAGGAAATCAGGACCAGACCTAGCAAATAATGGATGTGAGGTAACCTATTTCCACAATGTAATAATCTGTAAATAAAGTAACTAAGAAAACTTTCATGATACAATCAAAATGAACCAACCAAAATTCTATTGAAAGATGCTTAATAACTAACTCCTTATTTTATTAGAAAACTGAGGCCCAGTGGTGTTCTGATTAGGATTATCCAAAAGTAGAAGCACTCAAGAAAAGCTGTTTCTTCCATCCATTTTCCACATCTTTCTAAGCCCATTCATGCCAACTTGTAAGCCCTTGCTTATTAGGAAAATCTTCCCTTTTCCTCCCCCTTCAAAAGAGCACATAAAGTAAATTTTTTATGCTGGCCTTGGAATTAACCACCTTTGATAACATAGTAGGTCATAGGCTTTCTGCCAGCAGCTTTCCTTCTCTCTCTATCCAAGGGCCAAAATTTTGCCACAACACTGACGAACAGTGGAACAGTCTTGACTATGTAACCCTAACTCTGGTTTCAACAATGGAAGGGAATTAAAAAAATCAAAATTTGGTAGTAAATGAGAAGATCCAAAGAATCGGTAACTATTTCCTCTTGCATGAAACGTAAATTAGAACAGGATAAAAGTTGCACAGTAGTTCCAACATAATAAACATTAAGAATCTGCCTACCAAAGGAAAACATGACACTAATACAAAAACAATTCAGTTGCACAATGGGTTAAACAGGCTTTTTAATGAGACTGACTGGGAAACACATTCATTACTATTCAAGTACCCAACAAGCATTTATTAAGTAGTTCAGTCTGCCAGGTACAGTGTTACTGGGGACACAAAGAGAACAATGAAACAATCCCTGCCTTCAAGTCAAGTTCTTTCTATAAAGGGAAATAATATATACAGAAATACATGTGTATGTGTGTGGAAAACAAAAATTGAGAGGGCATCCACTGCTAGGGAGGTAGGTTGGGACCAGGTTGTAAAGGGCTTTAAAAGCCAAACAAGACCCTAAACCACCACTGATTAGAGAAATGCAAATTTAAACAACTTCGAGGTACCACGTCACCCCTATCAAATTGCCTAACACGACAAAACAGGAAAAAATGATAAATGTTGGAGAAGATGTGGGAAAACTGGAATACTAATGCATTGTTGGTAGAGTTGTGAACTGACCTAACCATTCTGTTGGGCAATTCGGAACTATGGCCAAAGGGCTATAAAAATGTGCATACCCTCTGACCCAGTAATACCACTTCAAGGGCTGTATCCCAAAGAGATCACACAAATGGGAAAAGGACTCACAAGTACAAAAGTATTTATAGCAGCTCTTTTTTGTGGTGCCAAGAATTGGAAATTGAGGGGATGCCCATCAATTGGGGAATGGCTGAATAAGGCTGAACAAGTTATGGTATATTAATGTAATGGAATACTATTGTTCCATAAGAAATGATGAGCAGGCAGATTTCGCAAAAACCTAGAAAGACTTACATGAACTGATATGGAGTGAAGTGAGCAGACCCAGGAGAACACCGTACACACAGTAACAGCAACATCGTGAGATGACCAACTTTAACAGACTTAACTCTTCTCAGCAATAAAAGGATCTAAGACAATTTCAAAAGACTTATGACGGAAAATGCTATCCATATCCAGAAAAAAGAATTATGGAGTCTGAATGCAGATCAAAGCATACTATTTTCTCCCTCTCCTTTTTTTTTTTTTGGTTTCTTCTTTCTCATGGTTTTCCCCTTTGGTTCTAATTCTTCTTTACAACATGACTAATGTGGAAATACATTTAATATGACTGTACATGTAAAGCCCATCAGATTGCACGTTGTCTTGGGGAGGAGGGAGAGAAAATTTACAACTCAAAATATTATGTTGTAAACTAAAAACAAATAATAATAATTTTTTAAAAAAGCCTAACAGAAGTTTATACATTTTTAACCTTAAAACAACAGGGAGACATTGGGATTTATTGAGTGACATGGTCAAGACTTGCACTTTAGTTTTAACAACTGTGGCAGGGGTGGGGAATTCGTTCAACAGAGGTTTTAGGCATGCATACTGGCATTAGTATTGAGGAAAAACAAAGAGAAGAGAGGCCTTCAAGGAACTACAATATAGGTAGATTCCCCAACCCCCTCTCCCCACCAGCAGTTACTAGGAAACTTTCTCCTAGGACTATTTTAACATATAGGTTCTAACCACCTTATTTTTGTCAAGTACACTAACAAATGAACTTTCATGTCCAGAATCTGATGTACTTTACTATACATGAAGTGTTGATGAAAAAGTTACTGCTTCCACTTAAGGTCACATCGATAACTTCCCTTCTTACATTAAGCCAACGAATTTCTTACCATAAACAAATCATATGCAATAAAATGTAAAATCTAAACACAGCTACACCAACATCAACCTTCCCAGCATATTCAAATAGGTGTTTTCGAAGTTAATTTAACACAACAGTATATGGAAGGTGCTAGAAATACAAAAACAAAAAGAAAGAATGCATGTCTGTGAGGTCTTCACTAGATGAACACGGATGCAGGTTTCTTTTAGTCAGTTTATTACACTCTACTTGGCCTGTAAAACCAAAGTTCTAAACTGAAATCTCTAGTGGGTTACTGAAACATAAGATTTAGAAATCTTTGCTGACAAGCCTGTTTGTTTTGCTCCTAAGAATCTTTAAAAACAAAACAAAAACAGAATAACAATAGCCACCCCAAGCAGTTTCTTAAGGTATATAACATGGAAATTGAAGAAACTATGAATTCCGTAACTCAGAATTTTCCAAGAGAAAAAAAAAGATTTAATACTCCCCCAGGAACTTTGGTCTTATAGCAAGAATTTTGGACTAATCCAAAAATGTTTACTACAGGTTGATAACTGTATTTATAAAATATTTATAAATACTCAAAAGACATATGAAAGAAGATACTATCTGCATCCAGAGAAAGAAGTAATACATCCACACCTCTTCCACCTCTCATACATATATATATATATATATATATATGTATATGTATATGTATGTATGTATATGTGTGTGTATATACATACACACACACACACACACTTGTGTCTAATGGTAGCCATTTCTAGGACAGGTGAGTGGGAAGAGGTAAGAAAGAAAATTATCATGTAACTTTATTATATATCTTTAAAAGGAATTGCAAGTCGCGTATAATAGATTTGCAGTTTCCTGTACAAGCACCTTTTTCCCTATTCTATATTATGCAAATGCCTATTTTATTTCTTAAGAATAAAATAATGAAACTCATTTCTTATTATAATGAATTTTCAAAATCATTAAAATTCATTTTAAAAACACCACTTCCCTATTATTGGAATTATTCAGTACATTTTAGGAGGGGAATGGGAAGATCTAGGTATGAAAAATGACTACTCAAATAACTTATATTTTCTCCTATAGAGTTAAAAAACCACTCAAACTCCAGCTGCATTTTACATTATTTCTGAAACAGAAGTGACAGTCTACTATCCAATTCAACAAATATTTAATATGTACCTACTAAGTGTCAGGCACTCTTATACTACTGAAGGGAAGGAAAATAACAATGTTTAGCATTTTTAGCATACACATTTGTGTTTGTGGTCATTTCTGTTCTCTAAATAACGAACGAAATGCAGAATAAATTTGTCTTACTGGTTTTTTTATACCGGTGAAATGCCAAAGTTTCAGGGGAGTTGGTAATTTTGCAGAACCTGGTTAAAGACGTAAGTTTCACAACTTTTCGTGTCCTCTGCAACTCCCCCATTTATCATCTCCTTTCCTATTGATTAATATCTCTTCTGTTCACTTTCCAAATCTTCATCCCATCCACCCCCCATCCAGCCACACCTATCCATGGCTCTCAAATCTGGCTACAACTACATTTTTTAGCTTTGTGTTACAACTTTTATGTGTGGAGCCAACTAGCCTGTCCCCACTGAAAGAAAACCTGTCCTTTGTAACAACAGTATCAACCTAAATACAACCTCTTCCAAGAGACTGTAAAAGCCTCAACTCCTGGCACTTTGTTTAATACCACTCAGGGTCAGAGGACCTTGGTTCAAAAAACCTAGTTGTGCCACTTACCACTATGATCTTGGGCAAATCACTCTGGGCTCCAGTTTCCTCTATAAATCTATAAATGAGGGATTATGATTTTTGAAAATAGAGTAAGGCCAACATATTAGTTTAACTGAAATGAGCCATGATTCACCAGGGATAAAAAAACCCTAAAAAACAAAAAAACTGCTAACAGCGTTATTCCACAACCTACAAGAAAACATTTCTGAAAGGGT